TTTAAGATAATATTGTCAGACTGTTTCATTATTAATTAATGAATGAAAATGTCTTGCTTAAAAAAGTGGCAAAACTAACAATATTTGTATTTCAAATATTTTTGCATCTGAAAAGACTTTGCATTATATACAGCTATATTTTTAATATTAAAAATTACTTAAAATACAACTTATTAATAATACTATAATAAATACTAATAATACTGTAATAATACTATGCTAAAGAAGAAGAAAAAAAATGAGCATCTACCATATCTCGGGATATGATATACCTGCGTGAAGAAAAAATGCTTAAAGATAATAGATTTCCATGCAGGCTGCAAAGAAGAGTGTTTTAACGAACTCTGCATTAATTTCCTCCACAAACAAATTGAAAAAAAGAAAAAGATTTTATGAGAGAATATTCATTTCAAGGCAAGAGGGATAGAAGTCTTTATTACCTGTGGTGCAATATCAGGTACATCATTGCTAACGCTACTAGCTCTCGACATGATGGGGCTAATTCCCGGTGTTCCTGGCGTACATGGTGCTGTGGAAGATCGCGGGCTTGGGGAAAGAGAATGATACCTGAAGTCCCTAGAGTGATACCCGCCGACTGAGCTATTGCTTCGAGACACTCTTGATTGTTTCTTCAATAATGACGGATGGGTATCCCATTTAGGTTCTACCGATGCTTTTCTGTCAATAAAAATGAAAATTTTAATAAATCCCAATCTCTCATGTAAAAATAAACTTACGAACGCGTTTCAATGAAACCAGTAAGATTCATCAGACAGACACTGCGACGGTTGCTTGAATTGGTGCTGTACACGCTTCATGATTTATTTCAAGATCGAAATAGAAATAATGCATTGGAGTAGAAGAGAATTGCGAAAACATGTTTGCACAAGTTTTTTGAATAATTGTCCTGTCGCTTGCAATTAAATGTACTTATTCAAAAAATATATTTACGGCAGTGGCGGAGGTGGAGCCGAACAATATTCCGCCAGATTATCCTGCTTTACTGGGCTCGTGAAGTTGATCAGGTCCCTAGAGGAATCTTGATTTGACGCAGTAGTCGTCGAATTTCTTCTACACGGTATTGGCGGCGGCGGTGCCAATATTACGGTACTCTTTTGATTTGTGTTAATGGATCCTGGTCTTGGCCGACTTCTGCATTGAGACCTACAAGCGTAGCACAGTGAATCATCTAGTTATCGTCACACGGTGAAGAATTGCATTTCGAGGATAAAAATTGTCAAACTACATGATTAATGTAGCCAAGTTAGAAGCATTGGGAGCTACAAGCGTCGAGCGCTGAGGAATACACACCTCTCTCCCTGCGAGCTGTCCACCTCCGACGCGCTGTTCGCATTGCACACATTGTTTTGCGCGACACACGCCTGTTGCACGTTACTTAGCTCCAGCCGCAGTTTCTCCAACCTGTACTTCTCCAGCGCCAGGCTTTCCAGACTGAGGGCCTTGGCCTGCTCCAGGTCCTCCTGATACTTTTTCTCATGATCGATCACCGCCGTGTTTTGATCGCAGGTGGTGTCTCTACTGTAGCGTGACATCTGGAATCAGATTTCGACCATTACGCTCGTTTCAACGCGCGGAGTAGAAGAAATCGGGAGCGGCGACGGTGTTGCGTGTCCCGGTAGGTCGTACGTTCTAACCCATATCGAGTCGCGGGACATCGACGGGACAACGGGAGCGGAGGCCTCCGGCTACGACGAGTGAATCGCTGTCGGCGAGTCCACGAGGACGGGAGTTACCTATCGGCCGTGGTGCATCTCGGACGCGTCTCGCGTCACCCTGACAAAACGTCGCTGCCGCGTCGCGTCGGACGGGTCTCTCTCTCTCTCTCTCGGGTCGTCGCGGACGACGCGTAGCGACGCGTGCGCTACTGGCTGCCAGCGCGGGTGACGAAACGCCGCGCATGTATCGTATCGACGGACAACGCGACCGGGGGAGACAGGGACTAATGACAAGCAAGAGAGGAGAGATCCGGAGCGGTGCTCCGGTGTGGCGGGCGCGTTTAAAGGGCCGTCGGTCCGTGGGGCCACGAGGCGAACTCTTTTGACAGGCGATCCGCGCACGCTCACCGTGGCATTATTCCCCGAACAGATGCTCGTCGTCCCTCGGCTCGGCTGACAGGTGCTCGCGAAACACCGCGCCTGCTCTCTCTCGCTCGCTCACTCACTCTCTCTCGGTCCTCCGCCTCCGTCTCGCTTCCTCGCTCCGCCGACGCGTGACGCGCGCGCGTTCGGGAAAGTAACGCCCTCGGCCGGCGCTTCGTTCCCGGTCCGGCTAGGCGCGATTTTCGTCGCGCCCGGGATCTCGCTCCTCTTCCCGCGAGCTCCCGAGCCGCTCGCCGAAACCTCTCGAGACTCTCGAGCGTCCGGCGTCACGGCAGCGGACGCACTGACTCGCGACACTCGGACTGGAGTACTGTTACGACCATGAACGTAGGAAATATCTGGACGGAGCGTAAAGTACTCTTGTGGGCGCGGGGAGTTGGCTCTGAAGGGTGAGGGGAACCTATCGTAGCGACCATCTTGGTGCCGGATATTCAGTGTCTATTGCCAGATCACGAGGCATTATACCGATTATACGGCGTGAACTGAGGCCGTTGCAGTAATTGCTATTTTCTGATTCCAGGTATTAATTCTCGATAAATATTAAAGTTGTGATTATTTGATATGTATACATGAATGTTTATTCAATATGCATTTACGAACGTTTATGCTATTATATGTATATAACAAATTTGGTTATCCGCATTATTCCGAATTAATGCACATTAACGGTTGCGACATGAAAAATACATGAAAGCGATGGCAAAAAAATTTATATTTAACACCATATAATAAAATAATATTTTATACTTTTACATTTTAATATAAAATTCCAAGAATTGGAAATCCGAGAATTTTAAACTGCAAATAGCGAGAATTGAGAATCTCGGAAACTGACAAAGTATCGGGAGAACATGATCAGCAAAGAGGTCACACTATCTAAAATTCCAAGAATTTTAAACTTCAAATAGCGAAAAGAATTTTTGAAAAATTCTTGGAATTTTAGATAGTGCGACTTCTTTGCTGATCATGTTCACCCGATGCTTTGTCAGTTTTCGAGATTCTCAATTCTCGCTATTTTAAGTTTGAAACTCTCGGATTTCCAATTCTTGGAATTTTAGATAGTGTGATCTCTTTGCTGATCATGTCTTCCTGATACTTTGCCAGTTTCCGAGATTCTCAATTTTCACTATTTGAAGTTTGAAACTCTCGGATTTCCAATTCTTGGAATTTTGGAAAAATTCTTGGAATTTTAGATAGTGTGACCTCTTTGCTGATCATGTTCTCCTGATACTTTGTCAGTTTCCGAGATTCTCAATTTTCGCTATTTATAGAAGTTTGAAATTCTTGGAATTTTCGAAAAATTCTTGCGCGTGCGAGGGTGTGGGTGGGTGTGCGTAATTGTGGATCGGCGTGTGGTGATTGTGGGTATTCGCTGTTCGGTAATATCGATGGGTCTTATGTCTACAGCTCATTTGCTACTATTAACAATGCCTTAGAAGCTACGGGTTCGCGCAGGTGTCACGGTCGTGATGATGGTGTCGGCGCGACCGCGGTCGCGGGGTCGGCGAGGTCGCGGAATCGGTGTGGTCAGGTCTGAATCACTCGGAAGCACCCGAGTGAGAAATCTGCACACTGGGAGCGCCTGGTTGAAGGCGGGAGACGTCCGGGAGCACCTGGACGGTAGGTATAGGGAACGGTCAGGTGGGCCAGCCGGGAGCACGGACGAGGAAGTGGCTTCGTCGATCGTGCGCTGATCGCCGCAAGCGGCCACGTCGCGTCGCGTCGCGTTGGCGAGCCTTATCCGATTCAATTTATGGAGCGCGTAGGCTCGCGACCAGTTGCGAGTTCCGTTTACCGTATCCGCGTCGCGAACCGCACACTGTATATGTAACTGACAATGAGCCGCGTTATGTGCCTCCTTCTCGTATATGGAAGCGCGTAGCTGCGAGCTCACGCAATTTCGTTTGCTTATACCGGGTGATTCACAAAGTCGGCGTTCGTTCGCGCGCGCGCGAACCGTTATCGTCGAAAGAATGACACGGATAAGGAGAGAAAGAGGATTCGCGTCGATAGAATACATTCGCCGGTACTTTATTACGATAAACTCCGCGTTTACATAAATATATTTTACAAAGGCGAAGATGAAGTATAATACGCTGCCCCACGTGGAAACGAGTCAATTCTAGAATTTTATGTGGCGAAATGAATCTTCGGTGTACAACAAAAACTGTATAAGTATAGCGACAGGCAGAATTGTTGCGACACTTTTTTTTTTAAGGAATTTAGGAACGCGCATTTCTTCTCCGAGGAATATTTCACTCGATGGCCATTCCGAAATCATTTTGAGCGGTTCCGATCTGTTTCTCGAGTTCCTAAACTCATTTAAAAAAAAGTGTCGCAAGCATTCTGTCCATCACTGTGCATAGAAATGGAAATCGCTGACAGCAGTGACTTAGCGTTTCTTATAGCAGAGATACATGTCGCTTTTATACATTGATATCTTAAGACCGAGTCATTCCTGCAGAGTTTTTTCTTTTCTGCTTGATAATGAATAAAAATTTAACTATTTGAACGAGTAAACTTAACTCGATTTGCCCTCATCTTATACACTTTTCATCTTTCAGTTAAATTTTGTGTCCTCCGCTTATATTACTGTAGCGCAATAAACAACTTTATTCTCCTTTCTCTTTTAAGCGTCTAAAAATATCCCGCTACTTATGGGGAATGACGCGAGCCACTCGGAACCCAAACTGATTACAACTCCATGAATTAAAGGGTGCGTTTGGAGCTCACTATCAGCGCTATTTAGCGCTAAAAGCGTCACTCTATCTTTGCTGCTGTTATGCGTCGAAGACAGACGATATTTTCGGCGCTAAAGCCTGATCTACAATGTGCTCCTTGCGTCTAGAAACATTCTAAAATAAAACATTTTACAGATTTGTGCAAGTTGATAAATTGTATACTATACATTGTACAATCGTACATTGTCGGCAAATTTTTTAAGCGTTCTGATTTGTGTACATAAAGTAGAAGCTTGAAGCGCGCTCCGCGAACGTATCCAAAAAGGAGGGAAAATTGACGAAGTTGTTAATCGTGTGCTCTGGTACTAAAATCGAGAAATGTACGAAAAGTGAAGAAAATCACGTTTGACTTATTCTGGCAAATTCAGAAGTGTATCAGCTCACTCGCTATTTCTTTGACTGAATACGATAATTTTTCGCAGATATCGCAATAAAAATTGTATTTATGCGCGTGGCATAAATCCATAATGCGCGATTGCAAAAGTTATACAGGTGGAACATAAATCGTCGATAGCTTCGATGATCTTGTTTCGTTTCCCTTTTCAAACGACGAGAATTCTTTTACGGCTCTAGATATCGGATTTCGACTCAAAGCGTCAGAATTAGAAGGAACCAAGACACAAAGACTTGTCAGCAGAGCGAAAAGAACTGATGTGACTGTCCGATTGAATTCGCAAGAAACAGCCGACAGCTGACGCTCTATTTTCCCGTCACGGATTAAGTACATTATCGTAGCGAGTTTATATACGCGTCTATTTTTAACGTCATTCACCGGTTTCTCGAAGGAAAGTCAAAGAAATGCTAAAATACAATCTGCACCTAGGAGAACGAGGTGATGGCGAGCCAAAATCCGGCCTCGCTCGTGGTCACGAGACTCCGTCTGCTGAACTTGATCGGCACCGTCGACTTGTCGCACTTCTCGACCCGATGATCCCTGAGGAACGATATTATCCCCATCTTGATCTGCAGCAACGCGAACCGCATGCCTGGAAAGGTTGCGAAACCGTCATAATTGCGTCGCGATTACGTCGGTTAATTGCCGACTTAACGACGAAGCTCGAGGCGGGCTTATCAAATCGGGATGCGAAGGCGTTCCCCAGCGAGAAACGACTCGTCGCTCGACGCCGAAACGATGTCGAATCGACGTCAATTTGACGGCGTCGACGTCGATTCGACATCGATCGACGGATCATTTCTCACTGGGTCGCATCGAACACGCGCATACGCTACACTATCAAGGTCGTCGTCCTCCGCCGCATAAATATGCACGCTCAGGCGGTCTCTCGGCCCTCCCGAGCTAATAATTGCCGAGCGAGTTATTTAAACGACGAATTTCGCACGCCACGCGACAGCTACAATACGCAATCTGTCGTCTCCGTTGATTATTAGTTGAATTAACGATCGGTCTCCAAGATAACGAGTCGGAATATTGGCTGGACGTGATTCAACAACGTTGGCACGCTCTCGCGTCAAGTTGTGACGGGCGGAGATAAGGGGGGAAAATGTATGAATCGATAAGAGGAAATATATGAATCGATAAGAGGATCGACGCGCGTTTGGGAATTCTACAGTTGGAGGATTCTAACACGAGACAGCAGGTTTTCAAAATTCCAGTCCAAATTCAATCGCAAATTTTTTTTCGCAACGATCACACGATCTAACAGTGAATTTTCCACTAAACAGATTTTACTCTACAGGTAATAAATTCATGATGAAGTCAAGATGACGTCTACTAATTGAGCGGAAACCTCGCCATCTCATATTAGGAGCCTGTCTCATAATAGGCGACTTTCCTCTATTATTTCTTATCGACATTGTGAATAATTCTGTCGCGGTCCTCGAGTGCTGACACCGGAATCAACAGGCTTTTTTTTTATTCGGACGACGTAGCATGTGATATCGCGCGACGTAATACTGAGTCAGCGGATTATGTATTCTGGATTGACTGTTTGCTTAATCCGCTACTCGAGATTGTACTGCGATACCGTTCGCAGCCGGCTTATGGAAAGAAAGAAATAATTTCATAATTCAGACTCTAGCGAACCGCTCGTGCGAACGACACGAGAGTCCGAGAGCTGCTCCTAAAATATATTTGGTATAAATAATGTCGAGCAACTCCCCTCGGATCTGATAAAAACGTAAAATTTACGACATTTCAAACGAAATTCAACGCCCGCGCTAACACCGGCGATTCGTACCAAAAACCGTTTTTAGAAGAGGAAATAGATACCGTGAAAACATGCTGTGATAATAGAAAACTTCTTGAAAGTCTTAAAGTCTTTCCGCGATGGTCGGAACGAAAGTTCAACTCAAAGCGAAATATACACGGAGAGAATTTCCTCTGAAAATTTATCCTGAAGATCGCGTGATCGTCGGGCGACATGGTATTTTGAACAACTTTATGAGAGTTTGTTGAAAGTTTACCATACATTTAACTAGGAAAACGTATACTAAGTGTAATTACTAGTGAAACGTATGGTAAAATTTCAAAAAACTCTCGTAAAATTCTTTGAAATACCGCGTTGTCTCGCGATTACAATATTTTCAGGGTAAATTTTAATAAAGGAAAATTCTCTCCGTGTAGTAAAAAAGGAAACTAACAGCGAATTCGGTTGCTTGCACTAGTGCGCACTGAGTGCATACTAGGGCTTGTTTACAATTAGAGAAAATAGTTCTAGCAACTATAATACGACACTGGGATATAAATACACGCGTAAGGTTTGCTTCATAAAGTCGTGAGGACTGTCATAGAATGTAACTACACTGTTCCTCTCCTAGCCGCTTTCTCTGAGAGTCGGTACCTATGCAATTTCGTGGCCCTTCCCCAAATGGAAGATACGTGTAGGAGTGTCTCGTGCGTTTATTCTCCTCCGTGAATCTCTCGGGATTGAATCTTGCCGGATCGGGATAGTAATTCGGGTCGTGATGAAGGCCGTAAATCGGTATGATGACCCGCATGCCGGCCGGCAGCTCCACACTGCTGTTCGGTATCTGGTACTTGTACTCGCATCTCCGAGAGAGCAGCGGGGCCGGCGGATACTTCCTCAGGGTCTCTACGCATTTTGTTTTATATTTCTACAAAAATTTCCCGATTATCTACGACGTTTTTATTTTTACTGCCGCGGCCGGCGATTTCTATCGCGAGTAAAAGCGAGGTCTCGTTGCTCGCGATAAAAAGATTACGTTCGGAGAAATACTTCCTTACTCTCGGATTTCTCGTCAACGATACCACCGGGTCCGTACCTAATATTACCATGTCGAGATACTTCATGTCCTGCACCGCGTCGTAAGTTAACTTCCCGCCTCGTGCCTGTATGGCGTCGCGTACTTCTCGCCTGGTCCTGTCTTGGATCTCCTGGTTCAAGGCCAGCTCGTACAGGCAGAACGCGATCGTGCTCGATGACGTTTCGTAGCCGGCGGCGAAGAAGACGAACGCTTGTGCCGCGATACTGTTCTCGTCTAATTCTACAAATAACGCATCTTTTAGCCTTCGTGAGCATAAGTACGTACACTCCGCATCGGAATCGGCAATTTACCGGTCTCCCTCGCCGCTTGGGCGTCCTCGTCGCTGCAGATCGTCGGGCTGCCGGCTTCGTTCTCCAGAGTACCCTTGTTCCTCAGCTCGATCAGCAGGTCCATAAAGTCGTGCCTGGTCGTGCGGCCGTTGTTCTCCCGCTGGTTGATCATTTGCGACACGACGTCCATGAAGAATCTCGTGACGCTCGGATCGACGAGCTGTACGTCCAGCAGCTTGTACAACCTCGGCATGGCCGTTCGCAGCATCCTCCAGAGGGAGGTCTTATAACTCGGCTTCGAGAGCATCTTCGCCGCCCTGTGAAACTCAGACTTGTTGTCGGTGAGCGCGTTTATCTGTATGCCGAAGGCGCAGCTGCCGATTACGTCGATGATGAACTTGGCGGCCAGCTCCCGCACCTCGACCGTGCGGTCGTCGTTGCGGCTCGCCTCGCCGATGAGTCTCCGCAGCTCCTCGCTGCACTCCACCAGCAGGTAGAACATCCGCTTCAGCTTGCCCGACGAGAACGCGGGCGTGAGTTTCGACCTGAGGCCCTTCCATTTGCGCCCTTCGAGATTGAACAGGTGCCCGGAGAGCGGATCCTGGCGCGTGCACCAGATTAACGTATTTTACCAAATATCCTAGGTAGCAGTTAGCGTTTCGGCGATCGCGAGACGGGAAGGAAGAACCTATTAATTGTCGCGTACCTGATCGTTATTGACCGGAATCCCGCGATTCAAGAAGCAGGGGAAATCCTTGACGAATATGCTCCTCACCAGATCGGGATCGCGTACGATCAGCACGGGCGATCTCACGCGGAACGCGCCGAAGAACCTTTCATCCTCGAACCACTGATACATCTCTTTCACGCCTTCCGGCAGCGACTTTCGGAACAGGAGCAGGGGGCCGAAGTTCCCGACGAGCACGGTCGGCTTTTTGAACGGTACGCCGCGGCATTCCCAAAAGTCGAAGGTGGCCGTGAGATAAAAGTACAGGCTACCGAGGAAGAGCCCAATAAGCAGAAAAGGGTCCAGCAAGACCGCTACGATGCCGAGCATTTTCAACCTCTGCTCAACGCGCAAGTCTCAAACAGCAGCCCACCGTCTGATCTCTAATTTACGGCTGAAATAATAAATGTTTTACCTTCTTATCAATTTCATCTTCAATATAGGTATGCGATTAATGCGTCTTGTCCGTATGCCCACAGAAAAGATTTCCTGATCCGATGCTACTACACTTCGATCTGTTATAAGATAAGATCGATACAGCGATAACCATACTTATTATTGAGAAGGGAATATTTTTTAATCTTAAGTGGAAAGTATTTAAATATAGAATAAAATAACATTGGTGCATGTGCTACAACTTGTAACGCATCAAAAGAAAATTTATTCTAAGTGTAAGAATATATAATCTTTAATTTCTAGAGGAAGGTCTATGAGATAGGCTTTCAACGTTCAAATTCAATCACAAATTTTTGTTTCGCGACGATTACACGATCCAACGATCGATTCTCACTAAACAGATTTCACTCCGAGGGCAGTAAATTCATGGTGAAACCATTGATGCCTATTAATTTAGCAGAAACCCCGCTATCCCATATTAGGAGCCTAACTCATAATAGGGGACTTTCCTCTATATGTCATCCTTATCTCAATATAGTAAGTCAATTTTATTTAATTCGAGGGAGAATTATTGATCGTAATATTGTTTTACTTTTTTTTACCACATGTTAACATTTTCTCTAATAAGTTTAAATACGTCAAGGAAATTGTCTTACTATCGGGAATTCTTTCTGAGTTAGTATCGTGCGTTAAGTTGTTAATGTATACTGTTTCGTTCGATTGTTTCCTCGACGTGAACGGGTTACTCGATTCATGCCGCGCTGAATCGCTCGCGTCGAGTATCGATTCGCGACGTCGTTGAATCGTCCTCGTGCGGTCGGCGGGCTCTTCGTTTGGCTACCGAGATCTATTTTTAAATTCGTTTTACAAACGTAAACACTCGACCGCGCAAGGGAGCGTCACGCGCCACGAGGAGAGATTACGATGCTCGTGAACGCGCAGTGTTTGCGACAGATCCGATTACGCGCGAGAGCCTCCGGTTGTACATACACAAAGTCGCGCGCGCGCGGATGTTTTAACGCGGACGAGTTCGCTTCTTAACCACCTGCTGCTTTCGAGAGTCAAGACACTAGCCGCCCGCGTTAACCAGTTTCCGTCGATTTCCGCCGTGCAAGTGCCGCGCGAACGTTTCAGAGATGTGTTTCATATATATGGAAACAGTAGTATTTTAGATTTCTTTGTCGTAATTTTACAGTTTATATCAACGTCAAGTTACGTCTTCTATGCGAAATGAAGAAAATCTTGATGTGCGAAGGATAAATACAAATTGAAGCTAGATAGCACGCGCAATGTTACGGTCAAGTCTATTGAAATTCCTGATGTCATTTCGATAACGGAGCAATATAGATTGGCCCCGGTATCCGCTCTCTTACGCCAATGCGATAACTTGAAATTCCACACATTTAGATAAGCGACAATCGCTCATTACGTCACCGCGTAGTTCGCGGCCGCACTCCGTGTTTTCTTTTCCTCGCCGAGAGGATGAGCACTCACTCACTGGCATTCCAAGGAGCAATAATTCAAACGGCACCCAAGTCCCGTCCGATCTAACGCGAGGAAAAGTCAATCGCACCGAGGGACATTCCACGGCATAATTTCACCCGCGCCGGTCGCGAGTTCTCGCTTCGCGCGGCGCGATCGCGGCGATCTCGAGCCGGCGGTCGGAGGACCGACCGCGGCGGCTCGCGAGGAGACAGCTCGCGGGAGAAGAGACGAGGCGCGACAGCGGGAGAGAAAAACCGAGTATAGGCGCGTGTATTCCGAACGTGTAACGCGGATATCGTCGCGCCGTATCGTTCCCGCGGAAAGGCTTGACCTCCCGTCGGCTGACTGGAAGGCATGAACGATTGGCCACGCATTTATAGAGACCCTCGCGGCCTCGGTCTCGCGCCGAGCCCGTACGGCCGATCTGATACCTCCGCGGATACGCTCGCGGGTTATCTTCAAGAGACTCGCGCATCCCTCTCCGTCGCCGGCATCGGCCGTGCCAAGCGAAACACCTCGCGCGCGCGCTCGACTGTCCGTTCATCGCGTAAAGGTCGAATCAGACTAGCAATTGCTAACTCGGATTGGATCGGGATTGGCGATTGACGATTGTCTTCTAGTCAATGAGAGTCGATTAAATCGCTGGCTGGTTTGCTCTCATTGGCTGAAAGACAATCGCCAATCCTAATCCAATCCGAGTTGGCAATTGCTAGTCTGATTCAGCCTTTAAGGTCAAATCAGACTAGCAATTGTCGACGTGAGTTAGACTAGGATTGGCGATTGACGATTGTTCTCTAGCCAATGAGAGTCGATTAAATCGCTGGCTGCTTCGCTCTCATTGGTTAGAAGGCAATCGCCAATCTCAATCCAATCCGCGTCGACAATTGCTAGTCTAATCCGGCCTGAAATCTTATTCTACAATGAACGCAAAATGCAAGACGCTAAGCCGCAACGCAAGAAATCGACCAATCACAGTCACATATGACAAGAGTAATCGACTGTCATTGACCGATTTCTTGCGTTGCGATTTAGCGTCTTGCATTTTGCGCCCATTGTAGAATAAGCTTAAACTCGTTACCTTGAACCACGCGCTTCGAGTAGCTTCGGCGGAGGATAGAGAGAAGCGAATCTGGATAAAGCACGAAAGAATGTGTATCTTTGCGTGGAAATGAATTTTTCAAAACACGGCCTACCGGGTTTAATAAAAATTGTCCCGCTGAACAATCTGACGGGTTAATCTAATCTTTTACAAAGAAAACGTTCACTCGCCCCCCGATGGCCCGCAGAACGTGACTGATTGTTATCTTTAAAATATCACTATGATACGCGCACAGATAAACGTAGATACTCCGATATATTTCTATATCCCATGTAAATAAAACAATACGGGACTGCAGCTCGCTTCCAGTCGTTTTTTCGCACTAGAGAAAAAGACTAACGATATAAGACGTTTTATTCTTCCTCCTTTTTCCACTCTTCGAGCTAGATCGGTTACTCGTCTGGTTAAACAAGCATGCAAAGCTGAGAATAACGCGGCTGAGAAATAAGCAAACTTCCGTTCCCCCACAACGTCGGTTGTTATTTGCGCATTTGCTTTGATATCGATAAAACATCAAGCGCGCAAATATTGCGTTAAGATCTAGACGCGCTGGTCCGTCTCTCTCTCTCACTCTTTCTCGCATCGCGACATGCATCGCAAATGAAAATAGATTTTCCTTTCACGTTTATCCCTGCAATGTTGATCTCCTCGATGGAAACAGATGGCGAAGCACGGGGAGTCACTTACATTCCTTGTCAACACTTATTCGACTTGTGCCTGCATTTTCAATTGACTCACTCTTTTGTTTCTGCCCCCAATTATTTATGATATAAAGACAATTAAAGTTGTAATGCGCTACGATCACTGAAGTTTAGGCTTTGACTAAAGAAATTCTGGAGAAATCTTGATTGATAAAATACAGATATTATTACCTCACGGTTGATAACGCTTCGCATTGTATTAGATGTGAATGCAAGCTTATTTTTCTCAATCGAAACTACTATCTTATCGAGATCTTCATCGCGATCGAGAGATCTCTTATTACATTCTGAAATAATAGGCCGTAAGTGGCAATAAAATATTATTTATTACATGATGAAATCTTGGAGTGTATACGTAAAAAGATCATTGACAATTGCGTTTTGCAATATTTCGTAAGAATTTCTCAAAATATCACTAATTTTTTTTAAAATCGTATTATCGTTAATTATAAAAATATAACTGTTATACTCTTCTCGTGCTGCACATGAGACATGAAACAAAAGTTGTATTAATAAAGAGCTGCACGATTATCCCAAATAAGAATAAATAATAAATTACTAATAAACGTAGTTTTATATTTATAAGTTTTGAATAAGCTTATCAAGTGGAGAGAGAGGAAAAGATATCACGTCACTGACCAACAGCTGATAAATGGCCGACTATTGATCCTGCTGCCTGCTACAGAAGCGACTGGTTCCGTTGCTTCGAAATGTTTCGCGAATTGTACAATACGCGGTGCGAATTTTGCGAATATTCTCCTATTTTCGTTCAATCGAAGAATTTCTGCGCCAACATGATCTCACTGATCGAGACATTCGAATGTTATGAAAAAAGCAAGCGAGATTTTCATAGATAAGTCACATTTTCGTGAAACCGTGTAATTTTTCGCGTATAAATATTTCCAAAAACTAACCGAAAAAAATCTAAAAAATTAACATGCTGACGTTATTGATAAAAAAAATTATGACTTACATTTCATGTAATGTTTCTTGATTCTTTTTACTCTTTACTATATACCTATATTAAAAATAACAGATTCTTCTTTACACGTGCTTGCAAATAAATCCTTCGAAGCAAAATAAATACTAAAATAAGTTGTTAAAGAAATATAAATTATTAGACAAATATAAATATCAATAATCAAGCTTTTTAGTCGACATTAACCAGCCAGTGTTTTAATACAGAAAATTTATTGGGAAAAATATTACCTCAGCGAGGGTTTGAACCTGGGCTTTTCTACTCTCTAGGCGGGCGTCTCAATATAAATATAGTAACATAATACAAGTAATTATGCATATTTAAAAAATTGCATTAACTAGCATGTTTTCAGAAGAATTTATTAATCTAAAGATTTGTGACTTGAAGACTCTGGACGTGCAAATCGCAGATTGCCCATTTCGTTCTTATTACTGAAACAAATGATCTTCGCTTGCACATTCTCCGATTTATAGCAATGTAAGTTTCGAGTCTGAAGAAGTGGACATTCCCACTGGCTAAACTTGGCAGCAAAATCTGAGAATTTGAACAGCTCTTCATTGTGTCTGCGCATTGTTCTACAAATTGCTAAACTAGACGGCTACTATTAGTTCAGCACAAGTTTACGACCTAAGAACGAGTTTTGAAAAATAGTGCGGGAATAAAATCGGCTCTATGTGATTATTACATCGTTATAATATCGTTGTACAATATCCATCATTATAATTATTACATCGTTATAATATCGTTGTACAATATCCATCATTATAATTTCATCTTTCATTGTAATTTTATGTCTGAAATATTTCGATGAGATGACGTTTCGTCAAACATATAGAGGAAAGTCGTCTATTATGAGATACACTCCTAATAGCGAGATAGCAAGGTTTCTGCGGAAATTAATAATAAAAAAAGATCGTGATTGAATTTGTACGTTGAAAACCTGCTATCTCATATTTAGAAACCTATCAATATGTGAAGAGGAAGCATACGCGAAAATACATAATGCTTTGAAATTCTTAGAATCGCGATTACGATTAGTCCGAGTACATGTCGGGTTTTACTAGTTGCAAAGGCCAGTGTGAGCTTTGTCCGTAAATTTCGCCATCGTTGTCGACCGAGATTGACTAAATTTGCAGTAAGCGGATCAGCGTGTTCGTTTGCTGCTGTCCCACGACCTAAATAGGACTATGAATAAATAATCAGCAATCGTATTCATTTGAATGCAATCACTGCTATGGAAGTCACATTAAAATTTCATTACTTGTTGCCCGAAAAATTATAAGATTATTCATATTTTAGTCATAATTAAAGAGAAGGGGAAGTTAATAAATAAAAACGAACATACGAGATTGTCGGCACATTAATGCTTATTAAAAATAACATCAATCCGCCAATTTTTCACCAATATAGTTGTAAAATATTATTGTACATTATATACTCAATAGCTTATTTAAAATGTTTTTCGCGATGGTATTTTTATTATTGCATTGTCACGAATCGAATTCTCACAACTGTACGCTATTTCCTAAATCTCGAATTATTTCGCGGCGACAATAAAAAGCGGCAAATTCGCCAGGTACGGCATGGGAGCATCACCGAAATTTTACGGACCACCGTCCGTGATCCTTCGATATCTTGCGTAATAAATCCGCGCCGGCCGAACCGCAGCGGCTCCGGCAGCGTCGATGCAGTCGGAGCCGCGGTTAGAAGAGGCCGCTGCCGCTGCTGGCGGTCGACCGCCTCGAAATGTTGATGCTAAATAAAACTTCTAGCTACTTGGGCCGATGCCATGCGCTCTAATTTCCGCGAAGGCACGGCCGGCTGTGGACGTGGTGGCCCGGGGTTTGCCACGTCGGAGGGCGATCTGCGCGACAGATCACCGATAGATCCTAGGGATTCTTCGCGATCGCGAGGCGGGAAGTGGAGATTGCGGAGAAGACGGAGAAGCCGCGAGTGAGAAGGCGCGGAGCCGTTCATCTTGGGCGGTTTCTTAGACGGGAAGTCGCTCTCGCGCATCACGCAACAGGCATCATCGGCAGACGGTGGTTCGAGCCTTGCGAACAACGTCCGGTCCTCGCCTCTTCCATGTGAAGGCTGCCCTGTCATGGCTATCGCCCTTCTGGGCAAGTGCGCCGCGCTGCTGGGTCTCGTCGTACTCTACGCCACCTGCTATGGCTTCCGGATACGCGATGTTGTACCGCAGACGCACCATCAGACTGTCTGCGTCCCGGCGCATGGTAGAGCCTGCCCAACGGACAAAACGGTGACAACTGGGGGACCGATGCATTCGGTCCGGAAATCGTACGAAGGCACGGTTCCGCGGACCATCGCTGGTGGCCGGAAACCACCTGCCGAGCCGACGTCAGATGCGGAAACGGTAAGAATTCGAATTGAGAAAATAACTCAACATTCAAGAGACAGGGGCACGACTGGATCTACGCCGAGGAGCTTCAGGATAGAAAGTGACGAGATGGATGACGACAAGGAGGAGGAAGAGACAGTTGTGGAAGTGGTAAGCATGGAGGAGGATGAGCAATCGGTGGGGGATTCCGAAAGAGACCAGGAGGACGGACAGACAGATGAAGACGAAGAAGAGGAAAAAGCAACTGAGACTGAACTATCAGATCAAGATGCTGAAGATAAGAAAAAGAAAGTAAAAAATAAGTTTTCTATTGACGATAATGATGAAGATGAAGATGATGATGAAGATGAGGATGAGGATGAGGATGAGGATGAGGATGAGGATGAGGATGAGGATGAGGATGAGGATGAGGATGATAAAACGACTTTTAAAGGAGATTCGAAAAAACACATTAAAGAAGAATCAAAAGAAATTACAAAGACTATGAAATACAGTAAAACCGATGATGATGACGACGACAAGGAAGAAGAAGGCAATAAGAAAGAAAAAGAAAAGAAAGTAGCCAAAATAGATCAACGCAAAGTAATAGAATCGCCTAAAAAACAACTTGTCGTATCACATAAAAAACAAGAGAAAGAAGATAAAGAAGAAGATGATGAGGAAGATGAAGATAAACAGTCTGATACAAAAGGAACCACTCCAGCACCCAGAAAGTTAGAGAAAGTGAGGCTCGCTGATAAAGATAAAGCAAGGACAGCTAAAATTTTACCTAGCAAACCCGAGGTGGAAAAACCAAAGCAAGAAGATAAAAAATCAGCCGATGTTACGAAACCAGCGGTTTCGAGCGTGAAAAAGACAACCGAAAGCGCGAAAGAATCCGTCGACAGCACGAAGAAATCAGTCGAAGATGCCAAGAAATTAACTGAAGGTACGAAAAAAGTTGAATCGATTAAGGCTACTCCTAAGCCTAAACCTGAAACTGCAACGAAGACAGTCGAAAAATCGAAGACATCAGTGAAACCGGAAACTTCACCTGCACCGAAGATTAAGGAGCAGGCGAAACAACCGGAGAAGGCGGATGTCAAAAAAGTAACAACGAAACCAACTTCGAAGCCGTCGAAGGAAGTTTCGCAAGCGGAGAGTGAGTATTGTGTGAAAATGGTTCGATACGAAAAGCAAATTTATCCGAAGATGTTTAGTGTTTCCGCGTGTGTATGTGTGTGAATAGGCGCTTGCGGAAGTATCTTAAGTAATAATCTAAGGTAAAATCCAACGGCCGTACAATCTTTTATTCGCTAAGCTTCTCCTACGCGTGGAAATTCCGCGTTATTTCCTTTGAACAGCTTGTGTTCTAATGGGCATTTAAAACGATTTTCCTTTTCAGATAGACAAATAGATGTTTTTAAAGAATGTACGTTCTTTAACTTTATTTCCTCGTTCATTATAAAAGTAATCTTAAAATTTCAAAATAGATAAATGCATCTCAAATGTCCAAAATGAGGTTTGTGAAAAAATTTCGCATTTCTATTTTATGTGATTAATCAGGTGGTATTTTTTAGAGCAAGAAACGAAGCCGAAATCGAAGAAACATACAGACGCGCCTGTTACATTGTCCGAAGTGAATGATGCAATTCTGCGTGTGCCGACCTTCGTGCCAAATTTTACGAACGTTGAAAATCCGGAATGTCAGCAACATGGCAAGATATTCCTCCGACAATTGAGAGGTTACAAGTTGTGGGCGCTGCAAAGTGAGTCGATTGACCGAAATAACTGTTTATGCTATTTTAGTTCAGACGCCAAAGTTATTGTGATTACTTCAACTAAAAGGCGTTCAACGTTCGAGCTAATAACGTTTATGTTTCTGAAAAGGATATATGGGCATTATTGAATTATCAAAGCTTTTTAATCGAAGCTTTCAGTTTGTATTTATATATAGATAGCCCGAATGTCTCTCTCTCTGATCTCGAAAAATTGCATCGGTCTCATCGATCCAAAGATCTGTCTTGCTTCCAGTGTTAGACTCGAGCGCGAAGATTCCGTCGGGCTTGTTACGAGGAAACGCGAATCAGTTCGGGGATTACGATCAATGTTTGGGTGTGCTGGCGCATGTTAAAATAGACGAGAAGACGATAAGAATTCAAGGGAAATATTGTCTGGCTACTGTGGACCTGCACGCTTCCCATTCGGACATGAGGCTGCCAGTCAATCTAATGCAAGCCCGCGCTTTTATACGAGGAAATATGTACGACGTAAGAGAAGTTTTGCTAAAGTTAAATGAAAATTAATTATGGAAACTCGTATCTCGTGCTACATGCGAGCGAAATTAAAGAAGAGATGCAGATAATCGATTTAAAGACTCTTTTTTTTTAATTCAGAATCTCTATTTCAAAATTGTCTCTCTTTGGTACTCTTCTTATAATAGAAGGTCTTAAAATAATCTTTTCTAAAATTTTAACAACGTTCCTTTGAATTAGAAACTTCCCAGCAACTTCGTTGAATGTTTCAGCCAGGTCATTTCATTCCAAAATTCACTACATTTAATTGGGCGCTGTGTCTACCCGCGGCGTGTTCCGCCGAAGACGCTGAACGTGCGTTAGAAAGTACCTTAAAGGATTACAATGGAACTGTAGGGATTAAATTTACGGTGAACGTCGATCCTAACATGTGTTACGTCAAGCAAAAGTCTCAGACCTACTCGAAAGAGACGATCGGCGTCTTGTGCGTATCTCTTTACTATACGACGAAGAAACGCAATTGATAAATCCATTGTTGCTAATTTATTTTGTAGGTACTTTTACGCTATGATTGTTTGTCTCGTTATTATAGCGACTGTGAGGGATTACTTGGTGAAGACGCGAGGGAAAGGTACGTGAATCTCGATAAGATAAATCTCTTACGAAACTGAAATTAGGTTTGCCGGAATATTACAATACAGCGGCGACTATGGCGTAATGCACGCATTTCCTCCGCAGGAAATTATTCTGAGAGGATAATCATGTCATTTTCCTTACGAAGGACGATTAAAGCCTTATTGAAGGAAGCGACGGACGCTGCGGATATTACGTGTATCCACGGAATAAGAGCGCTGGCTACCATCGTTCTTTACATTGCCCACCAGCTTATAACAATTTCCCGAATACCATTTAGCAACCGCGCTTTTCTTACCGAGGTAAGATCGTTGGAACAAAGTTCGCCTTTGCAAAGACCGCCTCGACACATCGCTTCATTTCTTGAAAACGTTGCTCAAACAGATCGCCAATAGTCCGGCCAGTTCTATCCTGCGAGTGTCGCTGGTTTACACGGACGCATTTCTGCTGCTGAGCGGTGTTCTCACCGCTTACAACATGGCGAAGGAACAGAAGACTCGCGGTGAGATTCGCTGGTTTTGTCGCTTCATTACCAGATTCATCAGGTATTTCAGATTCAATGGAAACGAGAGAGTCCTCGCCGTTTTCCGCCCGGGGGAAAAGGACCGCGTTGATCGTTCTGTCATGCTCTTCAGACTTTCACCGGCGTTGCTCGCGGTGGTTTTCTGGTACGCGTTCGTGATGGAGCACGTCGGCTCGGGCCCGCAATGGAACAGCGTCGTCACGGCGAACGCGGAACTCTGCAAGAACAACGCGTGGACGAACCTGTTGTACGTGCAGAACTTTCTCCCATTCGAGGAGATGGTGAGTAGATCGGCGGGCGACGGATCGAATAGTGTTTATAAGCTCTTATCTATCATGGGTCGATGGATCTTTTACAGTGTGCCACGCACACGTACCAGTTGGCCTTGGACATGCAGCTGTCGCTCGTGGCGCCTATCCTGGTCTTCTTCCTGCAATACAAGCTCCTCATCGGTATCCTTCTGATGACCTTCCTCATCCTGTTATCCGCGACTCTTCGTTACGTAGCGACAACGAGCAATTATCTGTCTCTCGTCATCTATCACGGGATATCGTGAGTACAACGTTTCAGGTGTCTCGCGCGCGACCGAGTAATGTAGAGTGCCCTCTTGATTTCAGATTGAAACGCCTTTACAAGACTGCCAATTTAACTTACGCGCTGCCGCTGCACAGAGCGACGCCGTACCTCTTCGGCGTCGGCCTCGGCGTGCTGCTGCATTACACCGGGAAGAACGTCAGGATTCACAGGGTACTCTCTCTCCCAACGTAATCGTAATCGCGCGTGATCCTGGCAGCGTTCTAATTTCAGGTGTTAGTGATCTTGGGTTGGTTGATTGCGACGGCCTTGGGCTCATGGTCGTTATTTTCACCCTGGCGTCAGGCCAGGCGAGATTACGTGTACGACGCTGAAGAGGCTACTCACTATGCAGTGATCGGACCGGTGCTGTGGGCCGCTGCTCTATGCTGGTCAATATTTGCCTGCTTCACGGGGCACGGAGGTCCGTTGTAACGCTGCGGTAACAACAATTGGATAGGCGTGTAAATAGACAGGCGCACTGACGCAATCACTCGCTTCGTAGGCGGTGTTAACAGATTCCTCTCCAGCTACTGGCTAGTGATCCTCAGCAGGATATCGTACGCCGTCTACCTGACGCAGTTCGCAGTATTTTTCTACAATGTTGGGACCACGAAATTCTCCGCGGAGTTTCAGCCTCATAGAGCAGTAAGTCGTGCGGACGAAGCGAGAATACTTTACCAAGTCTTGAGACTGCGAATTTATTAAATTTATATTCTCACCGCACATTTAATGCTAAATCTATCTGTCCGACTATCGCCTTTCGTATAATACACACTGTCAGTTTCCGTATTAAATATTTCTCATAAAGTACAGTGAAAAAAAGGCTTGATTATAATAGCTTGGTTAATGTCACCTACATCTATGACGAAATAATTTCAACTAAACGCATAGGTTATTATGACGATATAAATTGGTTAAACGCTGCAGAATTTAGTTGGCTCAACTAAATGCAGGTAGCAGGTTTTCAAAATTCCAGTCCAAATTCAATCGCAAATCTTTTTCGCAACGATTATACGATCTGACATACAATTTTCTACTAAACAGATTTCACTCCAAGGGCTATAAATTCATAGTAGAACCAACAGATGACGCATATTAATTTAGCAGAAACTCCGCTTTTTCGTATTAGGAGCATATCTTATAATAGGGGGCTTTTCTCTAATAAGGACCGAATTTAAAAAACTGTATTACTGTATGCATCTCACAAGTTTGCCTAGAATTTTTTTCAGTGTATAAACGACATTTAAAAAATTATTCAAGCACGATTCTCAGAATCGAACGGCGACAAAGTATGCATACATGGATACATTATTCATTTGCAGATTGATCCTCTGGAAGTGGCGATAGTGATAGCCGCGTCGGTCGTTTTGACGTTACTTTTTGACCTTCCAATGCAGGAAGTGAAGAATGTCATAATGGAAAGTACAGACGTTTCGACGCTCGGTGTTTCCGAAGAAGAAAAGGCACGCGCGAACGAGGATAAAAACGCCGAATCCGTCGAAACCACGAAAGTGGCGGTCGAGCACGCAAATGTTTTCGAGGATGACGAAATCGCGTCAACCGGGTGGGACTGGCAGAAGGATATAGCTCACGGTGCTACCATTCTCGAGGGGCACGACACGGAAGAGGAAATGGTAGACGTGCCGACACTGAAGAAGGTGAACGGAAGGCGAATGTCATTCATCGATCACGATTCCGAAGAGGTATCGAGCAAAGATCGAGCCAAGCTAGTGACGAGAAAACCATCCAGAGACACGGAGAGTCACGCGGAGAGTCACACGGAGAGTCACACGGATCGTAAGATAGGCGTAAACAGCCAGAGATACGCCACTGATGACTCTGAAGAAGAAGCTATTGAACTTCTCAGAAATAAACGAGAACATGACGAGGCTGTGGCTCAGCGCAACAGGCGTTCGTTATCCAGGACCAAAGAGAACAAGAGACCATCGTCAAGGAATAGCGAAAGCGAGGAAGAATGGCAGCGCAGAAAAAAGATCGAGGACGATTCGAGGCAGTCCAAGAGATCCGAGTCCAAGGGGAGAACGTCGGCCAGGGAAGCGGACGATCGTTCTTGGGAATTCGTCGGAAAGGAAGGTTCATCCGCGAAAGAACAACACGAATCGAAGCCGCTTCTCGTGAGACCGGCGGATCTTACGAGAAGAACATTCTCTTCCGAGAGCGAGGATGAGCCGTCGGCCCAAGCGAGAACAAAGCCGGTACGCGTTTCGAGTTCCGAAGCGAAGACGAGCGACGAGGAGGAATGGGAACGCGAGTTGGGGATACGGAGGAAACAGTTTATGGAAAAACTGATTGCTCAACAGCGCGAGTCATTGGTTGAGGGGGAGAAAGAGGCCGGAGGGGAGCCCTTGCAACGTAGATCCTCAGCGGAGGGCAGAATAGCCTTGCTAAGGGACGATATCACGGATGAAGATAACATGGACTCGTGGACCGTAAGCGTTGGCCCGCGGATCACGCTCCTCGGGTCCTCTCAGGAACCGAGTGAGCCCGAGGAGGATGGTATCTACATGCGGCGTAAAGAATATCGCGAACAGGGTCCACCATCGAGAGAAGAGAGTCTGAGCGAGGAAGAGACCAGCCAGGACACCTCGAAGAGACAATCGTACACCAGTGGTAGTCAGAAAACGTCCCTGGAAGAGGAGGACGACGTTAACAGCTATAACTTTATCCTGACCAAGGGAAGCAAGAGAGAATCCCTGCAAGATCTGTCGCAATTGTCGCAGGAGGAACTGGCGAGTGCCGGTTGGAACGTCGTGAAGAAAGAAGGCGAGCTTGTGATCAAACCGACGTCGACCGGCTTATTCAAACGAGAGTCCATCGTGAAGAGTCAGGCGAGCGAGGAGGATCCCGAGTACCTCCTGCCGGAAAGGCCGAAACTGGTTCAGCAAGAGCGGGAACATCCCTTCAAGAAAGCTTGGCAGATGCAGAAGTCTAGATCGGAGGAGGAAGGCTCCTCGGCTTACAGCATAAAGGATTCCAAAGAGCAGCAATCCGAGAATAAGGCGAAGGAACCGTCAATTAAACGCGAGCATAGCGGGGAGCATAGCGGGGAGGACGAGGTCGAGTTGTTCGCCAATGACGACTCGGTCGAAGCCGTCGTGGTGCTGCGAGGTAGAAGCACCGACACGGAGGATGCAAGGACCAGCTCGACGAGATCTGGCACGGACGAGACAGATTCGACCTCGACGGAATACAGTGGAGCTACGCGCGAGACAGATCGCAGGCAGAGCTCGAAATCGGAGACCGACGAAGATTCCGCGAAATTTAATTGGCCCGGCGAGGAAGGGGAGGAGGTGGCGGAAGACGAAGCTGACTGGAGAGGGAAATTGGAGGAAACGGGCTGGGACTGGGAGCGCGAGGAAACTTGACGAAAATGACTTTAGACGATTGCATAGAGTGACTATATCTTACCTTCAAATTCGGTTGAAGGTAAAGACGGGAGGAAGCGGTGACCGGATCGTAGCGGTCAAATGGGTTGTGCGTTTTGCAAGAGGTAAGATACGCTGGCGAAGATACATGGAGAAACGATGGAAATTTATATTAATCGTTATATCATATAAGTTAATAAATTATGAAGAAAATATTCTATACGTATTGTTTTTTTTTCTATTTTTTTTCCACTGGATTCCATGCCGTTTGGATCAATGTTTCGTGTACGTTGTGTGTGTTCGCGATTCATTTACAAACCACTTGTTAATTTTTCACTTTAAGAAATTCCGCAAAATATCCGATAAATTTTCAGAGATAATTATAATAGTAATTATTAAATAATTCGTAAAGTTTGTTTTCTTCTTAATACTATAAAATAGAAGAATTAAAATGACATTATTATTAGTATTATTTTGTCCACGAAAAGTTTATAAATCTCGTCTCACATTTAAAAGAAGAAAGGGGTGACGCGCAAACGGGATCGATATAGAATACATCATTAAAATGTAATCAGAAACGCATCGTTGTCTTCCAATTCTATGGTCAGACACTCTCGTTAACGCTAATTATGAGATTTCATAAAAAAATCTGTGAGCTATCCGTCATTTAATCTTTCCGTTAAAAAACGGATGTTTTGCGAATTTTGTCCACGATTTTAACGAAAAGCCTTTTCATTTCATATCACATTTGATATTATTTACGACTAAAAAGTAGACACATAATTACGCAATATTAAATTAACTTTAAAATTCAGATTCTGCATTAGCCTTTCTAAGGGAAATATATTACGAATAAAATTTTACTTTACAATAGCACAATATAGAGTTTATACATCACATAATTATATATTTTTAGTGTTTTGTACGGTGCGTAAAAATTCTGAAAATCCTGACTGTATATGTCACATCATTTCAATATTGAAATAAAATATTATAATTTATATAATTTCTTTATAGTACGGGGAAGGGGGTATTGAATGCTAAATATAGCATTTAAAAAATTAATCGTTTATCGATTTTAATATGCTGACGACAATGATTCCATCTAAATGAAACTGTTTTATGTCAGAATGGAAACCGGCGTGCAGAACAAGATGGGAAACGGTATACGAATCCACATTTTAGATTACAATTATTAAGCTACCAACATCTTGCTTGGACCTAAAGGCGCTCTCGTTTGTTGGATTTATATCGTAATGGTCCCATTTAACTCTATTTGAAATAAATGAAATATCGCCGATTGCGGTATCAATTTCGCTCACCTCATTTGCCGTTTACGGGCTGTTCGAAAGGTGCAGGTGCGTACTCGCAATTAATTGTAAACTTTAAAGTAAGACCGCCTCGTGGAACTTTTACGTTTCCCGCGCTGGGCGTGAAAATACGCATTAGTAGGTTAAAGAGGAGAAACGGCCTAGGCTGATATACTTTACGAGACAAAATCTCGTAAAGAGCTCGTGCGCGAGCGCATAATGTTCACCGCTCGCTCGGGCTGGTAGGCGATCCTCGGCCGGACGTGTTATCCACGTGAGGTGATCTACGCTCGCGTTTATGGCGCCACGGGGATTACTTCCGTTCACCATACCTACGGATCTGTGGGCGGCGGTCGCCGCACACGGCGGCGGCGGTTTTCATTGCTTTCGCCCGACCGCCGCCGCGGCGGCGGTGGTTTGCCTCGTTTATGCCTGTCACACGGGACACGGGGGTAAACGAAGGCTTTATACCCCTTCGCGTAAACATATCCCCCCGTAGCTGCATAAACTGAAAAGATCGGCGCGTTGTCGATCATATTTCATGCTTACGATCCGACCGCTTTATTCGCGTCGCGGCTACATTGGGACTAATTACCGGTTTCCCTGCCGGCCCGACACGTCGCACCACCGCGCGCGACATGCTTGGCCCGCGACATCTCGCACAGACAATTAACTTAACCCTTTGTTTACCACGTTATTAAAGTCTCGGTACTGCCCTCCCGTCGCATACTTGCTCTCGTGAGCGTTCGTGGTCAGATTATCAAACCAGACATAGTTTTCCACGTCTCTTTAACGTTTACGGAGTAATTCTGAAAATTGTATGATCGATTTTGAAATTTTTTTAATACCCGCGAATTATTTGACGTCGATCAACGTTTCCGTCAGATATATAGAATCATATTCGTGTATCTATAAAATCTATGTAAACTAATTGCCAAGTTAAATGGTTGTAATTTCATCGCGCGGAGGGCAATGATAATTTATTGGTTTGTATTAAAAAATATCTCGCGGTTTCACAGAATGAGGTCCACCGGCGTTATTACACGGCGGAATCCTTACGTAAAATATATATGTATATATATATATACGAATATCCGGAGACTTCGACGAGTGCTTCTGGTTGCCGCGCTTTCTCGGGTATGAAGCCGCAAAATTGCATAGTCAACGTGATCCCGGACGTCCGAGGAATCCGAAACGGTTGAAGCGCGAACGGTACGACCTGCCACGGATCACTTCGTACCAATTTGGACTACGATGCCCTGCGAGATCGTGGCCGTGAGCGAAAGCCTTGGAACGGAACCCTTGAAATTCTAGGCTTCAAGATCTCGGGATCAGCATGGGTCTTCATAAGCCAGGAATTCGATAGTGGTTCCGAATCGCGGGCTGTTCCGCATCCTTGACGTCTCCGTCGAACGCGGGGCTCTTCGCCGCCGGAGGGACGCTAGGGACGGATTTTTCCAAGTAAGCCCTCTCTCGAATTACGATCCTCTTACGAGCTTACCTGCGTATGTCTTTATTTCGAAATCTTAAAGTTATCTAAAATAATTAGAGCGGAATAATAAAAGGATTCCGTAAGAAGATTTTAAAGTACAAAAATTAAGTATAATTAATCAGAAATCGCATTATAACTTTTAGCCGCTCTTGCTTGAAGTATATTTTAATTATAAAATACGTAGTATATAAAATATCCTTTTTTCATTTCTCTTTCCTCTTGAAGTGACACTTGACGAAATTTCCTTGAAAAACTCCGCAAAGTATGACGATTCTCAATTCCAGTTATATTTTCGAAATTAACAACGATAACGCGGTAAGATTTGTTCCTAAGTGAAAGAAACTTTCCGAACACGCCGTCCCGAAGAAGTGAAATTTCTCTCTCGATTCGCAATACGACTGATCCGCGCGCCGATACCGCGGCTCGGCGTTGATGAAGGCGGCGGTGACACGCCGCGCGGGACAAAGAAGCGACGTGGAAGTTGAAGAGGTAACCGAAGAGGGAATACAATAGAAAATATTCGCCCGGGCCCGCCTGTTATTGCCTCGCACGTACCGCGCGACGTACGTGTCGGTACGTTCTTATTTACTTTATCGAAAGAAGGCGAGTGTGTCGCGCGAGGCGGCGCCTTCGGTGTGTTACGATTTCCACGTTCTTCTCTCCCCGGCGCCGTTCCCCGAGCACCAGCCATACCCCGACCTTTTTTCCCTCCGTCCCTTCCTCCCACGCGGCCCTTCCTCGCGTCTCTTCGGAAATGCGCGCGCCGGACGTGATCTCTCCGCGCGCATCGTCTCGTTAGTATGGCTGCTTATCCGCTTTTCCCGTTCCCCGAGAGCGTAACGTGAATGCTGCGCGTTTCTCCTCTATTGTCGTTGATTTCGGCCTGGTCCACGTGCGGCGTGTGCACACGACGCATCGCACACGACGGCGACGCGTGTCCACACGAGCGCACACACCCCGTACACGCCGACGATGGAGTCCGCGCGCAACCCTCTATCCTGCGAGACGTGCCCCGACTACCGTCCAAGTTCTCGTTCTCTCTCTCTCTCTCTCTCTCGATTTTCAAGACCCGGTTCCGGCTCTCCCCGGTGTGCACCATCCGGGATGCCGTCGCGTAACGGCGCCTCCCAGGAGGTATGCGCTTCTCTCGCAGTGCCGAACAGCCAAAGAACACCTCGCCAACATAAATACCGCGAAATCAAAGCACACACTCCCTGTATTTCTACTGCTGCAGTGACTGCACTCCCTACTTTCCCGGCAAGTTTGAAATTCGTCCAAGTCCGCAAATTAAAATTTGTGTCAAACATGTGGCAAATATGTATCGAATGATCGAAGCGGTGGCTACATCAAGCCGCAAAAGTGTACGATTCAGTAAATATTATTATAGCAGAGGCAGATGATTCGTCGTTTAATCAAGTTCGAGATACGGAGAAGCGACGATTTTAAATCACGTCCTTCCGCGATAGAGTCAGAACGCCGGCGATTATTTCGATAAAAGTCGAAAGAGTCTAATCGTAACCGTCGAGATTATCGAATCTCGCAATTCAAACAAGATCTCTCGCACGCGATTACGAGCACTGCTGTTTTATTTTTTTGCCAATTAAATGCGGTTAGCGCATAGTATCGCAAACAGGCTCGCGCGGCGCGATGCCTGCGCCTGGGAGAGAGGGGAATCCCCGAACAACAAGAACTCTCGAGTGACGCTCGAAGGCGAGGAGAAACGCCGCGGAGACATTTGCATACTTGGGTATTCATGCAGGGGAAGCTTTCGTCGGCACATTACAGGATCCGGGATTGTTGCACGTGAATACGCGACGCTGTCTAGGGAAGCGGCTGCGAGAACAGCAAAGAGCCGGCGGGAGAGGCATTGTTAATGCGAGCGAGGTGCGCGCGGCCGCGAGTATTTGCGACTCGCGATCGCGAGTATTTGATGTGAGTAAATTGTGAGACACGCACCCCTTGCGACGCAATCGGAGCGTCGTTTAAGCGTCTCGCGGAAATCCAACCAGCGTTCTCGCGCGGCGAACATTTTCCCGGGGAGATTCGAACACGATGACCCGAATGATTTCAGATTTAATTGCCGCCCGCGATATCTTAATCCTGCGCTAACCCTTCCCCGAGGCTCGCGAAAAGTCACTCTCGTAGCTGCACGACGTATATCGCTAATCAATTCGTGCTCGGCGAGACGAGAGAGGGATCCCCTTTTTCCTCTTTCCGCGTCGCGAAGATGGAAAAGTTGCGCCGGTCTCTTTACGAGATCGTCGTCGTCGTCGTCGACGTCTTCGTGCCACCGAGCCGGATAATTGCTTCGATTATTTACAAGATTTCCTCGTGGCGAATTAAAGCGATACCACTCCCCCGCCTCTTCCCCGACGACGCAATACTTTCCTCCCTCTCTTTTGAGAAATCTCCCGCTTCCTTTTTCACGCGCGACCCGTACCTTCCCTCGTCGCGCGCCTTCCTATAAAGCCTAATCCGATCACGATGAAACGAGGTGTCCGTTCAAGTGTAATTCCGCGATAATGGATATTGCTATTCAGAGTACCTCTCGCATTAAATGACAAGTCCTATCGCGAGGTGAGGAGAAATGTGGCGCGGTCATGCTGCACGCGGAAGAAGGATTTAGCCAATTTCGCTTTTAATTTCATCGAACAGCCCCGTCTTGACCTGTCCCAAGAAAAAAATATCGAATAGAGCGAGTCTGAATACGCCGTACGAAACGTGACGCGTGAAGAGCATAACGGACGGAGATTTTATACAAGCATGCGGCTGTGTGCGAGAGTATTTTTAGCAGGACAATTTTTCTCGATCGAGAGCTTCGCCGCGGGACCACACTTTGGAGAAAAGAATGCTTTCCACGTTTTAAATCACGCACTGTGTTTCGCGTTTATTGGCCACATTGGGGCCTTTTCTCATCGGTTCTTTATCTTTCTTGGTGCCTTCACCACTCTTCTTGACACTTTGGAGCAATTCACCAATTTGGTGTCAGATTTTCAGACAAACGTTTACAGTGTTGAAGGTGGCGAGTGTGGCGCGGATAAATGTGCGCTGCTTAGTAAACTAAATGAACGAAAAGAATACCACTGAGAATATTCTGCCACACATACCCCTTTAGGGGTATAGCCCTCGAGATTGAAGGTCTTCTTCGGCAAGGTTAGCAGTCTACCGAAGGTGAAGTAAAACCAAATGCTCAAAGTAC